GAATCGCGGCGTGTGGGGAGGCTCTGTGGGGCTCTGGTCCCAGCTCGTGAGACCGTGTCTCTTCCACGAAGCCTCCATCGCGCCGGTGGGTCCTCTGGCCGGTCATCCCCAGCCTGAGGTCTTGCTGCTTCCACAAAGAGCTGAAACAGAAGGAAAAAAGAAGGGAGCCAACATCCTGACCCAGCAGCCGGTGGAGGACGCCGGGTCCCATCTCTGCCTTCACCACCCGCCCAAGGCAGGACCTGCCACCGGTCTCTGGGCCGCTGTGACCGCTTCATTTCCATTTTACTCCGACAGCACTGATCGCAGCGTGTCGGTCCTTGTTTTTATTTCTTTTGCTCCCCTCTCCATGCGCTGTTGAGGCTTGCGGTGTTCTGGCGAACAAGCCTTGACTGTAATAATTTCTGGCCCCTCGTGGGAAGTTGTAACTCCAACGCAGTGAAATATAAACTGGCAGAAAATGGAGCGTTTCCTTCTGCCATTGCAAGCTGCAGCAGGCAGGCTCAGGTGAAGGTTTTCTGCTGGCTTTCCCTCCCCTGCTTTTGCTTTTTCCCCTCTCTGCCGAAGGGCACGGTCACCGTCCTCCGGCCACCCGGAGGGAAACGCGCTGGCCGGATGAAATGGCACAGTAAATTTGCGCTCGGCAAAGTCACAGCTCCAGGGGCTTCGGAAGGAGGCAGCAGTGGGAAACGTGAATGTTGTTTGTCTTGTGGTCGAAAGGGCCCATCTGAAGTGCTGCGGTCTGCTCGTGACGGTGTGGGCGACAGCCCCGGCGCTGCTGGGTGAGGGGTCTGCGGAGGTCCCCGGGAGAGGTGTGGAGAAGCAGGGAGGCCAGCAGGGACAGCTTGAGTTGGGTGGAGGAGCAGCCTGGGATGGGATTTGAAAGCACAGAGAGCGGACCGTAGACTACACCCTGGGAAAGAGGGTATTGTCTTGTGGCCCACATCCAGAGGTCCTCTCATTGTCTGGGATGGTTGGCCCACGTCTCCAGAAGATCAGGATCTTCTGTGCAAGGACAAAGCCCACCTTGCAGGGGGACAGAGCTTTCTCAGGAGCTGCTTAGAGACGCCGGCAT